GAAACACTAGCTTCATTTGTAGCTTTTTTATTCACCCACAGGAGGCATAACGCTAATTAATTTGGCCCTTGGGCGGAATGTTGTGCATTTTGAGAGGACAGTGAAGTGAAAGAGTGGAGCCTCCACATTTCTAAACTCTTAAGAGATAATTTTTAGTGATGCAGCCAACAGCTTTGTTCCTACAGGCCCTCATTCAGTACCCTGGAACAGATTGGGTGCTCAGTAAGCTTTGGTTGGCTTAGTTAGTTTGACTTCACTTTTGGTCAGAACTATAATTATTTGAAAGTATTCATGAAGACTTATTAATATATTGAATTTTGCAACTATGGTAAAGTTTGTACCTCCAAAGTATGAGATTTGGGCTTTAAAAATTAAATCTAACACGTTTTTTTCCTACTGAAAAACATGTTGTTAATTTTAATGTCAGATCAAAGCACTACAGATTGGCCGGGAAGCAAGGTTGGCGCCCACCCATGTGTCCTGGTTTCAGAATGCTGGTAAGGTCTCATAGTCCCCAGAGATTTTGCTTCCTCTATTCTCAGACTCACATTTCCTCCCCACATCTAATACCTTTGAAATCAGAATATGCATAGCAATTCCTCGTGTGACAATTATTTATTGGCAGCTTCTTATTTCTCAGTGGTACACACAATAATGATGCATTTCCTGAGAAGGAAAGAGAAACAACATTTAATTCCTACTTATCACATATCAAGCACTGTGATAAGCAATTTATAGACATTATTTTGTAGAATCTTCAGATGAGCCCTATGAAGGAGGCATTTTCAATATTGTGGGAAGCTGAGACTCGGGGGTTACGGGGTTTGTCCATGATCACAAGTTTGCAAGTGTCAGAGTCAAGATTTGAACACAAACGTGGCTGACTTTATTATTATTATTGTGGTATGACCCCCTGGATTCTCAATCTGCCTTGTCCTCAGCTTGTTCTGTTCATAAAATAGCTTGCATATCCTTAAATTCTGGAGCTGGGAAGGATCTTATGAGTTGTGAGGTCCAACCCCACTGTGCTATAGATGAGGAAACTGAGGCTGAAAGAATTGACTTGTCCAACGTAGTCACAAAGGAAGTTGTGCCACTGAGAATCAGCATGGCCCAGCCAGGGAAGAGAGAACTTCCAGGCTCCTTCAATGTCTCCATCTCTTGCACGCAGGGTGCACCCCCAAGCCCTCCCCAGCTGGGGCTGCCCTCCCTGAACCAGGCCTCGGTTGCTCAGTCACCCCTTCCAGGCACTGACACTCGCTCATTCCTCCTCCATTGTTGTGTGGCCCCAGTCCTCAAGATGACTGCTCACATACACTCCTTCTCCCCTTTTCCTACTCCTCCTGAACCTGTATCCTGTGACTCATCCTCCAAGGTGACAGTGAATCCATGTGAAAATGGTAGTGGAACAAACTGAGAGAAGATTCTCCAGGGCCTGTGCCTGGAGACTTTGATCACATATTTGCTACCTGAGAGAGTGGCTTTAATGGCGGGAATGTCAGTGTGGATGGAAGGAAGGAGGCAGATGCATAGACCAGGGTGCAGAGATGTTCTGTAGGTATCAGGGTTTGAATTAGCCTTGGAAACCGCACTGGAGCCTCTCACTCTGCCTAGAGAGAGGCAAGTGGTATGGCCCAGTGCAGGGATCGCAAATGTGGCAGCCATATACCATTCCCCTCTTCTACACCCATGATGGAGCTGATGGGTTGCTGCCCTCTGTGCTTGGAATGCTTTCAGTCATGTTCTCAGCACAGTGTTCCCGGCAGCCACTTCCAATAGACTGTAGTTGATTGCAGGGATGAAACAAACCCATTTGCCATCCCTCCCTAGTGTTGTTGATGGCTTTAGAAGTAGGCAGATTACAAAATGACTGAGATGCCATTTCTCCCAATGTATAAAGGAGAAAATAATAACTGATTTATAGAATTGTCATAAGGTTTAGAGATAACATGTTTAAGAGGACAGCAGGTTCCACGGTGCCTGGTAAGTAGGTGCTTAGTGACTGTAGTCATTATTGTAAGGTTAGTGCTGGTGGGTTGAAGCCATGATGCCACAGCTCTGCATCGTGAGGAAGTGGGGCATTGTGAAAGAAAGGTGTTCCTGGCCTACCTTTGTTGTCTGTATTTTGTGAGACTGCAGACACGAGGATGTATGTTTCAGGTCTTCGGAAACATGGCTGAGGATGGCAGCTCACTACCGATTGGCCCAGCAAGTTAGGACGATCATGCCAGGTAAGAGGTCTGTCCCTGTGGTACCCAGTCCTGGTTATGCTACTCACAGGCTAAAGGGCTGAAGAAAACCCTTCATTTCAAACCTAGTTCAATTGTGTATAAAACACGTGTAATCCAACTCTAGAGATATGGGTGGGATATTGATGGACTCACGGAGCATTGTTAGATGTTTTTGAAAAACCAAACCTTTAGGGCCAGCCCGGTGGCGCACTGGATAAGTGCGCCGCTTGAGAAGTGCGGCGGCGCTCCCGCCCGAGGATGGCCAGCCCGGTGGCGCACTGGATAAGTGCGCCGCTTGAGAAGTGCGGCGGCGCTCCCGACCGAGGGTTCAGATCCCACATACAGACCGGTTCCTGCTCACTGGCTGAGCGAGGCGTGGGAGCAGCACTGAGGGTTGCAATCCTGTTGCCGGTCCCCGGTCCGGTACGGGGGCAACACTGAGGGTTGCGATCCGTTGCCGGACACAGAAAAAGACAAAAGACAAAAAAAAAAAGAAAAACCAAACCTTTAATGAGTAGTACATTTATTTATTTATTTATTTATTTAT